AGATCACCTGACCAGTCAGCAAACACCGCTGAGGGAGGCAGCAGGGCTCCTCAGCCAACAGGCTGGGGCTGAATTCAGCTTCCCCCATTTACTATCTTCACACCCGTGGAGAATTGTTCGACATCCGTAAGTCTCCTCCTCCCTCACCTGCAAGGTGGGGATAACAAATCTCACTTGACAGTTGTGAGATGTTCTAGGCCAGCATTGCTGCACAGAACATTAGTCCCCTGAGATACTTGAACACAGTTTTGCGTCTAAATATGATCTGCAAACCCAGCATTATGCATCCCCCCACCTTGGAGATTCGGAATGCATGTCAAATAACTGCTCTGAGAAGCCCTGCCGTAAAGGAAGATGCTTCATTTGATTAATCCGGGGTTTCCCAAACTCATTTGACCATGTTTGTACCCTTGGTTAACAAATACACTTTTCTCCCAAAGTTCATCCCAGCCTTCAGGGGCCTCTACAGTCTGGCCCACTCTGTCTCTAACTGTACAGCCCACAACTCTCCCCCAGACTCACTCGCCACGCAGGTTAAACTTTCCTAGGTGCTATTCCCTGACCATGCCTTTGTTTATAATAGCTTTTTTTGATATCATTCACGCAACACACAATTCAGCCATTTAAAGTACACAAAGGGTATCAGTACGTTGGCAGAGCTGTGCATCCACCACCACAATTTTAGATCATTTTCATCATCCCCTACCCCCAAAAAACACACCCATAAGCAATCATTCACCATTTCCCCTCAAACCTTCAGCCTTAGGCAACCACAAATCCACTTTCTGTTTCTATAGATTCACTTGTTCTGGATATTTCATAAAAATGGAATCATACAATATGTGGTCTTTTGTGTCTGGCTTTTCACTTAGTTTTCACGGTTCATCCCTGTAGGAGAATGTATCAGCACTCTGTTCCTTTTATTGGCCAAATAATATTCCACTGTATGAATATACCACATTTTGTTTATCTATCCAAAAACTGAAGGATATTTAGACTGTTTTCACCTTTTGGCTATTGTAAATAATACTGCTATGAATACTCGTGTATTAAGTTTATGCATGAACTTATGTCTTCATTTCTCTTGAGTATATTTAAGAGTGAAATTGCTTGGTCACGTGATAACTCTATACGTTTTACCTTTTGAAGATCTACCAGATTATTTTACAAAGCAGCTGCACCGATTTACATCCTAAGTAGCAGTGTATGAGGATTCTAATTTATCAACATCCTTGCCAACATTTGCTTTTATGTCTTTTCGATCACCGACAGCCTAATGAACGTGAAACAGTATTGTCATTGGGGTTTTGTGACCATGTCCTTTAAGGCCCCACTTCAAAGGGCACAATCACTCTATTCTACCCATTTAGATGCATTCTTCTCACTCTATGTATCCATCAAGATGCAGCTTAAATCCTACAGTTTTCTTGGACCATCTATGACAGTCACATCTCTGAACTCAATTCAAATGACCCCAGGCATGGCTTCTATTTACATTTCCTGTAGTTATGGGCTTTCTGGTCTACTGATGTCTTCTCTCTCCAACCAGCTCCTGTCAGCTCCTTAAGTGGGGTCTTACATTTCTTAGTGTTCAGTAAGGAACCTAGCAAATAACTGACACTTCACAAAGGTTCACTGATATGATTTAACGTAGGAGCTGAGGCTAGGGTAAAAATGAGGGAGAGAGGATTTGGGATCTCAGACTTGGAGGGAAGATTAGAAGGAAAGAAGTTCGCAGGAGAGGTCAGTCCCCTTTCTCACAAGGAACTATGTGTTCCCATGCAAAGGACAGAATTCACGAATTTGATGTTTCGTACTATTTTAACATTCTTAACTGTGAATCCCCATTTACTCACAAGTCTAGACTTGGTGAGTTCAACAAATCTTTTCGTTTTCCTCCTTTTCCTTTACTCCAGCACAGCAAGACTCTGCAGGAACTCTCAGGATGGGGATGAAGATCTGTATTTATCCCCTCGAGCTTTGACAAGAGTCACCCTCCACCCACCCACATACAAAATCAAGAGATGGAGAGTCCTCCCCCCACCACTGTGAACCACATCAAAAAAAGCCAGTCCCCAGCAAATCAAGAGAAAGAATTGCTGAGTCCAAGGCCAATTGCATCTCTAAAGACTGGAGGTCTTTAACTTTAGCTCCTCATTCCCTTTACTTTATCCCAGCTGTTACAGAAGCTCAGATTCAAAGCACACTGTGTTAGGTCATGGCTACTTGAATCCCATAATTATTTCAACAACTACTGATGAGTCAGGAAGAGCACAACACAAAGTTGGCCAAGTGCTGTTAAATGAATGTGTTCCGGCATTTGAAATTGACAGAAAAGGCCCATATTGGAAATGCAGCAAAATTTTCCTTGCATTTGACCAATGGGTCTCCTCTTTCCTTGCACAGCAAGGATTCTGTTGGAGCGTCTAATGCATCTCTTGGGTCAATAACAGAAACCTTGAGATGCTGACAACAGAACGTTCAAAAATAGCTCTCTCCTGTGGCCTCATGTGCTGGTTTTACACTTCTAATCCATGTTCATGAGCAAAAACTGCTTAAGAATTTCAGCAAAATTATTGGGCTACATCCTGGGTCTCAGCAGGTAAAACGACCATAAACCTTAAAGAAAAGCCATAAGGAAGCAATTCCTGATCCATTTTTAACAGTCAAACCCCTTAATTGTCAAATGCATTATTACCTTAGACGAGATCAGATCACCACCACCCCGGATGCCCACATCCCCTCCCCTCTAATGAGTGAGAATAAGGACCCAAACAAGTGAAACGACCAAAGTCAGAATAACCATGGGCCCAGCTTCAGGCGTGGGAGGGAAGAATGGAGGCACCTAGTCAAGAGGACCTACGGTGTGAATAAAGCTGGAGAGTAGGAGATTCTCAAAGCTATAGGTGGATTTCAAGAAGTATTTGATAAAGAACAGAAAATTTCTTATACGTCTAAGTGCAACTGGCGAAGAGAAGAGAATGGGCATGGAAAACAATCAGATACCAGTGAGATCCATGAAAGTGTCAGAGAGCTGCCAGAACTTCCAGCACGGCAGGAAGTCATCAGAACCAAGCCACACTGACCTTCTGTTTTAGAACCAAAAGAAACCATCCCATAAAGGAGGAAAGACAGTCGTCTTCAGATGAAGCAAATGAAGACTCAGCTTAAATGATTCTCCCAAGGCACAGAAGCCTGTCCAGACCCCAGGTCTCCCTCCACTGCGCCATACGCTTGACCTCCAACAGTAATACATGAGCAGGGCCAGGGGCTGCAACACATTCAAACTCAGTCGGCTCTCCACACGAAATGACCTTGAACCACACTTTCAGTTATGAGGTATGCATCAGTAGGTTACACCAAGATAAGTGACTCTTAGTCAAGTCCTGATAGCAGATTAATATAGTATGTGGTCCTTTTTATGGCATGTGGGCGGTCAAACATTGCAATCATTTTAGCACCACAGTCTCTTATCACATTTGGGAGAAATAAAATGGTTATAGATCACTCAATTTTTAAATTGCTTAGTTCTCCAATCACTGCTTATTTTGAATATGGTCACTGTACAAGTATAATGAAGCAGACTTTTTAAATACAGATCTCCACAGCCAGCAATAAAACATAAATCAGTAAGGAAGCCTATAAAACAATGTTCCCTCAAATTTAATTGGACTGAAAATTTACCCATAAATTCACTGAATAAACAGCCCACCTTAAATGGGATTCTCCTCTCACAGAAATTACTCACTTCTCTCACTAAATTAGCCTACGCAGCCCCCCAGCACTCACCCAAAGGACTTTACAACGAATGCTGCTAGCTCCACAAGATGTTCTCTGGAGGTGGCAGGAAGAGTTGGCTGAAATTATCCAGCATTTTAGTGTTAACTGGAACATGAATTTCCACTGAAACTTTGGTAAAACTATCGTTCCCTACGTTATGCCTGAAAAGTTCAAGACCAACACTGTGGTGGTGAATGTTATGTGTCAATTTGGCTAGGCTGCAGTACTCAGACATTTGGCAAACACTCATCTAGATAATTCTGGTGAAGTATTTTTTAGATGAGATTAACATTTAAATCAGCAGACTTTGAGTAAAGCAGATTACCCTCCACAATATTGGTGAGCCTCATCCAATCAGTGAAGGCTGCATGAAGAAAACAGTGACTGCCCCTAAAGAGATAATTCTGCCAGTAGATGACCTTCAGACTTAAAATGTAACATCAATTCTTCCATGGGTCTCCAGCTTGCCAGCCTTGAGCCAATTCCTTAAAAATCATCCACCCCCTTCCCCTGCATTCTCCCCTCCCC